ATGACTTGAAAGCAGCAAATATAATTGCTCTATTTGAAAAAGGGGTGAGAGAGAAAACAAGAAACTATAGGCCAGTTAACTTGACATCTGTCATGGGGAGGGTGTTAGGAGTGGTCATTAAAGAGGTATAGCTGGGCACTTAGCAAAACTGAATGCTATCAGGAAGAACCAACATGGCTTTTAATGGGGAAAATCCTATTTGACCAGTATCATGGAATTCTTTGAAGGAGTAACATGCACTTTGGACAGAGGGAAGTCTGCAGACATAATGTGCTTAGATTTTCACAAGGCATTCGACAAGGTGCCACGTGAAAGCTTATTGCGCAAAATAGGAGCTCATGGTGTTGTGGCAACATGTTAGCATGGTCTGAGGGCTGGCTTGCCAGCACAAATCAGACAGCAAGCATAAAGTGTTTTTTTCTGATTGGCAGAATGTGACAAGTGGAATCTTGAATGGGTTTGTACTGGGCCTCAGCTTTTTATGATTTATATCAACTACTGAGAGGAGGGGAACAAATTCATGGGAGCTGAATTTGCAAATGAGTTCAAGATAGTAGGAAATTATGTTGTAAAGTAGGTGTAAAGATGTTGAAGACACAGAAAGGTAAGTTACCTGATTGGGCAAAGAACTGGCAAATGGCAGTATAATGAGGTAAAATTTGAAGTTGCTCACTTTGGCAGTAAGAAGGAAAAAGCAGTGTATTTCTTAAATGGAGAACAACTGCAGAACTCCAAGGGATGTAGGCAAGACTACTGTATGAGTCACAAAAGGTTAGATGTGTTTAAGACTACTAATGGAACGTTACTCTTTACAGAGAGGAATTGATCATAAAAGTAGGAATGCTATCCTTCAGTTATACAGGGCATTGACAAGACCGCATCTCGAATACTGTGTACAATTTTGGTTTCTTTATTTAAAGAAGTGTGTAAATAACCGGAGATAGATCGGAGAAGATTTATTAGATTGAAATCTCGATGAGAAGATGGTCTTACGCAAAGGCTAGAAAGATTGTGCTCATTTCCACTGGAGTTTAAAAGAATGAGGAGTGACTTGATTATTTAAGATCTTGAATGGTCTGACAAGTTGGACATGGAAAGGATATTTCATGTTGTCAATGAATCCAGAACAAGGGGGCACAGTTTCAAAATTAGAAGGCACTGTATTACTGCAGCAAGACATCCCTACTCCTACACTCAAATCCTCATTTCCTCATGAGAGGATAGCGATGAGAACTTGTTTCTTTCAGAGAACTTTATAACTTTGGAACCCTCTGCCTCAGAAGGCAGCAGATCTGGAGTCACTGAATATCTTTAAGGCAGAGGTAGATGGATTTTTGTTCAGTGAAGGAATTGAGGGTTATAAGGGATGGATGGGAATGTGGAATTCAAAACATAAACAAAATGGCCATGATCTTATTGAAGAATGCTCCGTATTCTCATATCTTTATAGTTAAAGATGATTTCCCTCTCACAATGTCTCTGCCTGATCAATGATTTTCTAAGCAACCCCTGATCTGAATCACTGATATAAGTTGATATAAACTGTAAAAGCTTCAGGCTCCAGCATAGGCGCTTGAGACACTCAACTTATCAGGTCCTACCAATCAGACAAAGACCCAATAATGCATACTCTGTTTCTTTCTAGCCAGCCAGTTTTCTATCTATGGTCATAAGTTACCCCTACAACATGAGCTTTTATTTTCAGCTATTTCACTCAATGTGGACATTATCAAATGCTACTGGATATTATGCATAGCACATGTTACTCCTTCAAAGAACTCCAAAATTGATTAAACATGATTTCCTTTCCACAGAATCATGCTGACTCCTCCCTATTATCTTGACTTTTTTCCTAAGTGAGTCTAACATCTTCCCCATCACAAGTTGGAATGCGGTGAAACAACTCAATTTATCTCTGAACTGTGCTAGACCAGGGTCCTGATGAATTGAATAACTATGGTTGTAGAGAAATCTTTAAATTAATTTGATGGGGTGAAGGTTTCGGACAGGAGAAATGTAGTCTGACAAAACAAGAAGATATGACAACGTTTCAGGGCAACTATTTGGATAATGATATCCAGAATGGGATAGGAAGGGACATAGTGTACAAACATAAAAAAAATTAGCATTTAGGGTCAAAGCGAAAAAAAAGGAAAAGTCAAAATTAGTGTTGCTCCGCATTTGGTTGCATGTAGTATTCAGAACAAAATAAATGAATTATTGGCATAAATACAGGTTAATGGGTATAATCTTAAAGCCATTAAAGAGATATGGTTACAAAGAGTTGAAAGCTGGAAACTAAATACACAGGGGTTTGTGACTTTTTGAAAGGACAGGCAGGAAGAAAAAGTGGTGGAGTAGCATTGTTAGCACTGAATGGAATAAGTATGATAGTATGACATAATCTTGAAGCAGAAGAGGGTGAAGATAAGAAATTAAAAGGGGAAGACGTCACTGGCAAGAGTAGTCTACAAGCCCCCTAACATTAGAAATATGGTAGAACAGAGAATAAATCAGGAGACAATGATGGCATGTAAAAATGGCAGTATATGAATCATGGGTGACTTTAATTTTCACATAGATTGGGATAGTCAGACTGGCAGAGGTAACCACGAGGAATAATTCAGAACATGTCAGGACAACTTCCTAGAACAACATGCTGTGGATCCAACCAGGGATCAGGCTATTTCACATGTGGCAGTGTGTAATGAAACACGTTTAATGAATTATGTCAGAGTTAATTATACCCTTGGAAACAGTGACCATAACATAGTAGAATTTAGCATTCAGTTTCAGAGGTACGAACCTGGATCAGAAACAACTTGGCTAAACTTAAATGAGAGCAGGGCTAACTGGAGTGGATCGGAAAAGGGGTTTAGCAGCAAGACTGTTAAGTAAAAGGGCAAACATTATGGAACATTTGTGGCTCACAGAAAAGTGATACCTAGTAATAAATTCTGGAGAGCAGTGATATGCTTTTGAGTTGATGCCAAGAAAAGTAAATGAGCCTTAAGGATTTTCTATGATAAAAGAACTATTGAAGGAGATAGAAAGTAGACTACTTTCTAGCACAAGATTTTGTAAATTATAGTGTTAAGATAATAATTCATATTTTACTTCTTTTTCAAATGCAATAATGGGAAACTTTGCATCGTAGATCTGTTACTTTTTTGCTGTTGTTCAGATTTCTTCTTTCAATGTTAAGAATCCCTAACCAGATAGTAATACTGTGCTTTAAAGCATAAATCATCCATTAAATATTTTGGGGCAATAAAAGACCCTGAAAGTGGAAGATAAACTGATGAAAGCTTGTTAAAGTTTGCAGAATCCAACATTTTAAAAAGGAATGGGATAGAAAAGGAAATGGATTATGTTAAAGTAAATAAAAATTGGTTAAGCCCCTGTCATAAAGCATTTTAGGCACATTGCTTTGGAAAATATATCAATACTTTGGGCAAGGGAGAGAGATTCAGACAGACTTACCAAGGGTGAAAAGCTTACCTAATGAAGAGCAGACACAAAGTGAGATGCTTACAATATGAAAGTGATTGATGTTACAAAGAAACCCAAGAGAGGCATTCAAATTTTCAGGGACAAGTCAAGTTAAGTAATCTGGCTTCAAGTGGAAATTGTAAAAGGGAAGATAGATTTAAGAAGAGCCCTAGCATTTTGGAGAAAGACTAGAAGAATCGTGATTTTTCAAATGCAGACAGTCGTTAGGTCATAGAAATCCATAATTGCCACAACTTAAAAGCTGCCACACAAGGAACACAGAATGCCAGATAAGCTCAGCAGATCTGGCAGTATTTGTGGAGAAAGAAAATAAGTAGATGTTTTGAGTCCAGTATGACTCTTTTATAGAACTGAAAAAAAAGTTCTAAAAACTGAAAATGAACATGAGTTATACTGGACTTGAAATGTTAACTCTATTTCTTTTTTCACAGATGCTGTCAGACTTGCTGGGTTTCTCAAACATTCTCTATGTTTGTTTCAGATTTCCAGCATCTGGAGTAATTTACCTTTCTTATTATGGAAGCTATCACTTTGACCCAACCGGATAGGGGTTCGGAGGAAGGGTAACTCAACCCGAAACGTTAACCCTGATTTCTCTTCACAGATGCTGCCAGACCTTCTGAGGTTTTCCAGCAATTTCTGTTTTTGTTTCAGATTGTGATGGTATTTATTCCTTAAATTGGGTTAATAGTTCCAATAACATTTATTTACCTGTTCCCATTTCTCCTGACCCATTTACCCAACTTAATTTGAATGGTGATGCAGTTTTAACCTTAACCTGTAACCATGGTAGTCAATTCTACTGCCCACATCTTGATTTTGAGATGTTTCCGAAGTTCTCTATTCCCATACTTTCTTTTTTTAAATATGGTCCCTCATTTCAGACTCCTTGTCTTTTGTTTCTGCTTCCATTTTCCCAACCCAGTTTTGAGTTTTTAAACATTTCTATCGTTAAAACAATGCAGATCGTGGAATCCAATGAAAAAGTTCCAATTACTTACTTACACACACTCCCTCTCACACACAGATCCTCTCTCATACACAATCTCTGACACACACACACACATTTTCTCTCTCTCTCTCGCACCACCCCACTCCCCACCGCACCCCCCCCACCCACACACCACTGAAGTTTTTTTTCCATATCTGTACTTCCTATGACTCAGCAATTTTTTCATTCTAAGTGGTAGGCAAGCTAATAAAAAGCTATTTATTCAATCTGGACTGTACTCTAACTTAAGTTTCAACGTTGTTCCTAAAGTACATGGGATATTCCTTCAGAAATAGGCAGAGTGAAGTGAAATTTCTAAATATTTGAAATTAGGGAAAAAAATCTGAGGCCATAAGAACAGGGAGATGGAAATAATGGATGCCTCAGAGCACCAGTGTAGGTACGATAGCTTAATGGCCACGTTCTGTGCTGTAAAATTCTATAATGAATCCGGGCATCACATATTTGACGACAAGTACTTCAAGTTAATTCTTACCTGGTGGCAATATTCACATTGATATGGTTTCTCTCCACTGTGAGTGCGCTTATGCCTCTCCATATGATATTTCTGTATGAACCTCATGTCACATTCATCACATTGAAATGGTTTTTCACCTGAAAATGCCATTTCCAAATGGTTAAAAGTTGGTCATTTGTTAATCTATTATTTTTACATTACTAATATCCTCATTATTTTTGGATAACAAAGACCACAATACTACAAGATGCAAGCCAATAATCACACCGATTTTGAAAAAAAATGCATGTTTTTTGAACTATTTTTACAACCTGGGGCCCTCTTTTTTCCATCAAAATGATTAATCCATTTCTGAGAAACATTAAAGTTCAACTGATGCCAAATGCCCTTTAGGACATCACTCAATTGGCCATTTTTAAATGTGAGCCAAGAAAACAAGCATCAGCAAGGTAACTGGAGGCATCAGACCTAAGTTGGATCCTCTGTTCACTTCCTTGGTATTGACTAACTAATACACTAAATGACTTGTTGAAATTACTGTTGAGACTCAGTACAATAAATGTACATGTAATCATTGTGCTACCCTAACTAAAATTAAGTTTCTTTAAAAACTTGAACTGTAAGAGAGAAGGTTAGCTAAAATGCCAGCTAGAATCTGTGCCTGCCAAATAAGGACAATATTTATCTAAATGGGCATCAAAAAGTTCCTATGTAGAGAATAAACTGTTACACTGTCAAATAAATGCAGATGTAGTAACAAACAGAATAAAATTTGTGGAACATTGTTGTGTGTAAATTGGCCATCATATTTGTCTGCAAACAAGTAAACTACACTTCAAATGTAAATTTTTGGTAAGGAGCTCTCTTATCTCGCATGCACCAATTGCAACTGAGGTAAGCATAAGAGATTAATCACTAGCTGATGTTTTGGAAATAATATCGGAAAGATTAAATTCAGCAGCACATGTTCTGCATGGCTTTATATGTACTGACGTACTTATTGAGCAGGTGTCATTGACACAGTGATTCACTGGTTATATGTACAAGAATGACGTTAAATTCTACCTCTCTGCCTTTTGGATGCCTATTTTAATCTTCTTCTGCCACACCATTTACAATTCTTGGATAAAGCATAACTTCCTCAGGTTAGATATTGGGAAGACTAAAGCTACTGAATATTTTCCCTCCCTAACTTGTGACTCAGACTTAACCAAATATTCACAATGCAGAGTGCAGTTTCTGACCCCGTATCTTCTGTCAGAAAGGCTGCTAATTTATACCTCAACAATATTTCAAATCATTATCATTTATACCTCAGCCCCTTTATCAATTAAATGGAGTCATAAAGCCATACCGCATAGAAGCAGGCTCTTCTCATTTATCTTTGTATGTAGGAAATCATGTCTCACAAACTTAATTGCATTTTTTGAAGAGGTGACCAAGAAGTTAGATGAAGGTAGAGTGATACACATTGTCTACATGGACTTTGGCAAGGTTTTCAACAAGGTTCTGCATGGTAGACTGGTTAGTAAGGTTAGATCACATGGGATCCAGGGACAGCTAGCCAATTGGATACAAAATTGGCTTGACAGTAGGAAACAGAGGGAGTGGTAGAGGGTTGTTATTCAGACCGGAGGTGCGCTGCAAGGATCGGTGCTGGGTCCACAGTTGTTCATCATTCATATAAATAATTTGGATGAGAATACAGGAGGCATAGTAATAAGTTTGCAGATGACACAAAAATTGGTGGTATGGTGGACAGTGAAGAAGGTTATCTAAGGGTACAACAGGATCTTGACCAGTGGACTGAGGAATAGTAGATGGAGCTTAATTTAGAATAATGCAAGGTGTTGCATTTCGGCAAGACAAACCAGGGCAGGACTTACTAGTAGGGCCCTGGGAAGTGTTGGCGAACATAGAGACCTGGAGGTGAACAGTTCCTTGAAAGTGGTGTCACAAGTAGACAGGGTGGTGAAGAAGGCATTTAGCATATTCGTCTCCAACAGTCAGAGCTCTGAGTGCAGGAGTTGTGACATCATGTTACAGGTGTACAAGACAGTGGTAAGGCTACGTTTGGAGTACTGCGTACAATTCTAGTCACCCTGCCATAGGAAGGATATTAAACTGGAAAGGGTACAAAAAAGATTTACAAGGATGCTACTGAGACTGGAGGGTTTGTGTTATAAGGAGAGGCTGGATAGGCTGGGACTTCTTTTCCTGAAGCATGTGAGGCTGAGGGAAGATCTTATAGAGGTTTATAAAATCATGAGGGACATAGCAAAGGTTTTTTTCTCCACGGTGGGGGTTGGCAAAACTAGAGGGCATAAGTTTAAGGTGAGAGGAGAGAGATTTAAAACTGACCTGAGGGGCAACTTTTTCACACAGAGGGTGGTGCATGTGTGGAACAAGCTGCCAGAGGAAGTGGTAAAGGAGAGTACAATTACAACATTTAAGAAAGATTTGGGCAGGTACATGAACATGAAAGGTTTAGAGGGATATGGGCCAAAGGCAAGCAAGTGGGACTACTTCAGTTTAGGAATCCTGGATGGCATAGATGAGTTGGACTAAAAGGTTTGTTTCCATGCTGTACCTCTCCATGCCTTTGCCACCTCAAAACTTGGCTACTTCAAATAATTGCCCCTTCTATCTACTACCATTCTTACATTTTACTTCATTCAATACATTATTGCTCCACCCTCTATCCACACCAGCTCCCATGCACCATTATTGTATTATTCCTGCATTCAAGTCCCAAAAGAACTTTTGTTTTCTTTTCATTGCAAACTCTTCCCAGTATTACCCAGTCATCTACCCCTAACAGTTTTCTAATTCTAATCATTTTACACATCTTCCTTACTCTTCATCCCACCATTCATGGTGTCTTCACAACTCCAATTCCTTCCCTAAACAATTCCTCCTCTCTGTGTCACTACTTTCAGAATCTCCTTTAGACCCACTTCTTTAAAATTACTCTTCATATCGTCTTCAAAAGTTTAGTGTCAATTGTTTCCTCATGTCCCTATGAAGGGCTTTGGAACATCTTACTATCACTGAAGACATTAAGCAGCCAATCCGAGCAATGCACGTGTAGCAAAAGCACCAGTGGCTTGAGCAATACCAAAAATCTATACCGTTGATCATGATTAGACCAGAATTTAAGGCAATGGGTAAGTTTGGAGCTTACAGTACTGCCACTGTTTTTAAAGAACATTTATAGAGCAACAGAAAGTATACAAGGAGAGTGGAAAGAAGTGCTTCCCTGCGAACTGTTAAACAGCGTTAAAAATAACTTAATCTTGAAGTTTAATTTCCATGTTTACAACAGCAATTACTCGATTGACTCTTGAATTTGTGAAACTTTGTTTTTGAAGGACAAGGAAAAGCAGCACAAATGGAAATCAAGAAGTATCACTTAGGACATTTTCTGTAAACATACACAAGTATTCAGGAGTCAACACCAAGACACACCTCTGAACTAAATATGCTGCATCTTCAATCCACATTAGACAGACTGAATTCAATCATACTTACCGGTATGAATTTTCTCATGTCTCTGCAGCAAATATTTTTGAATGAACCGCATGCTACACTGGCTGCACTGATACGGCTTTTCACCTTCCAACAAAAAGAAAACATGTTTCAAATTGTAGCAGAATATCATTTCCATAGAATAAAAACCTCTTAAAATAGAACAGAAGATGCCAAAATCCAACATCACATAAAATCTGATTTAATCAGGTATTGCAAGTACAGGCTAAAATCAAATGTGGATATACAGTATAATTCATAAAGCACAAGACAAGCTGCAGATTTACCAATTCTATTATACAGAGAGGCAAACAAGTTTCCAAAACATTGTATGTCCAATATTTTGCTTTTCTGTAGTGTTATATCTGTACATTATAAGTTACATATTAAATATTAGCATGAGAATTCAGATATGGAATCAAAGCAATAGAAATTTGTAAACAGCTTGGTATAAAACAACTAGTTGCTCACTAACAGGCAGAAAAAACAAGACTATAAATGGTAATTATATTAAATCAAATGTAATAATAATTTGCATTTAAAACAATTATTATTGATTCTTCACCTTAATGTAACAATACGTGACATTAAATGTTTTAACTTCTTAAATGTTAGGTCTAATATTATGGTCTAATTTGTGACACTTAGCCACATATATTAGGGCAGGTGGCCAAAATCTTAATCAAAAGTTAAGTTTTAAGAACTGTCTTAAGAGATGGAAAGGCAGATTGATAATTGAGCAAATGTCACAAAAGCAGAAATAGTGATGGTATGAAAATATGGTCAAATAATTAACATGGGATCAAATATGATATCAAGTTTGCATACAATGTGGTTCAGTCTCAATCAGTGACAAGAAAGGGATGATGAGGGAACAGAGTTTGTGGTGGAAACCGAAGATAATAATTTGGGTCTTTTTAACATTTTGCGGGAGGAAATCTCTGTGCATCCAGTAATAGATGTTGGACCAGTAGTCTGACAATTTTGAGACATTGGAGGGATGGTGGTGGTAAGGTAAAGCCAGCTAACATCAGCACACGTGAAAACAAAAGCTTTGTTTTCTGGTGATGTCACTGTGTAGGAACATGTTAATGAAAAATAGGGGGAAACCAAACAGAGATTATTGGAAGACATGGCATTGTGAGAATTAGAAACTCAAGAATGGAACCAAGCAATGCAGACCAACCCAGTCACTCAGCTGTGAAGACACTGCAAGCGGATAATGGGCTTAATCCTGTCAATGGCTACACAGGGTGAGAAGGATAAGGAGAGTTAGTTTATATTTCTCACAGTCATTTGGGATATCGTTTAAGTGTTCATTTAAAAGATTTACATTCCATTGACTGCCTGCTGCCTTGAATCATGTATTGGAATTCTAGTCAGTATAATTCAATAAAGTTTTGTACATTTTGAAAATAGGATCTAATGAACAGCTTTATATGCAGCAGACCAGATATACCTGTATGGATGAAAACGTGTCTTTGTAAGTGGTAATTGGTACGAAAGGCAGCATTACAATGCTCACAGATATGAGATTTCAGGCACTTTAGCCCAAGTGATCCATCTTCATTTATTGTTAAAATCTGAAGGAAAAATAATGCGGAAATCCAAGTTTCAGTCCGAGTCCAACGCATTAGTTAAGTTATCAAACTATTTATTTTATGACAAACAACAGATATGGAGCTAAAATTCAATGTCAAAATTAAACTGACTGGAACTAAACTTTGCCAGACTCTCTTTTCGAACAGACATTACAGGAAACTAGGGCAACTGCTGCTACAATTGGCCAAGCAGCATCTGCTCCTATGATGCTGCTTGGCCTGCTGTGCTCATCCAGCCCTGCACCTTGTTGCCTCAGATTCTCCAGCATCTGCAGTTCCCACTATCTCTGCTGCTACAATTGGACAGGTGGCAAAGAAAATACATCATTAAGTAACACAAGCCAAAGGAAATAGTCTATTGAAACTTCAAATCATCACAATTTTATACATCATTATTCTTTTATAAATTTTTAACCTATTTTTCCCTCCAGCTCTGCTTAAGGTACTGAGGAAATGTGGGTATTTTGCCCACAGGTGTCAGCAGCTCTTCATTCCTCAAGCAGGACTTTACCCATCAGATCAATCCACAAGCGCATGTCTTCATGGCAACATGGAGAAAATTGGCAAGTCCAATCTTCTTACTCAATGTTGACACATGCAAGTTTCAGCACACGACACCTGAAAAATGACCAGGAGTTGGAACCCTTGCTTATTTCTTTTGCTTCCTCACAAGAGTGCTGTAACACCTCACAGCTCTCATCTTCGTCATGAGTATTCTCAGTGGGAACTTGCTCATTACCTTTACACCAACTCACGGAAACAATCTTTCAAAGCTTGCTAAATCAAGAGATTTTACTTTGAAATTCTATTCTTATCCTTCCTTAGCTTCTGCTCTCATCTCACTGTTGCATTTCAGTATTTTTACATGAAGTGTCAAATTGGATTCAATGTCAGCATCCACTCTCCTAGAGATCCATTACAAAAAACAATGGATCTCACTTCATTCACTGAGGCAGAGTCCAAGAGAAATCACAGGCCACTAGTTCAGCTAACTGGAGTACCATATGGAAAAATTTCATTTGAGCTTCTTGTGGCAAGTAAGCACAAGAATATTAATCTGAATGCTCATGCTGCAAATATACAAATTAGTTTAAATATGTAGAAAAGACGAATAATATTCAGTACAAGTCAATATAGTGTGGAGTTGGAGGAACACAGCAGGTCAGGCAGTATCAGTCCTGGCCCAAAACATCGACTTTCCTGCTCCTCTGATGCTGCCTGACCTGCTGTGTTTCTCCAGCTTCACACTCCAGCATCAGCAGTTCTCGCTGTCTCTAATATTCAGTACAAACTATGTTTACACCAAGAAAATCGACTCTAGCCTATCCACCTAACTGAAGTTACTCATCTCCGGAACCATTCTCATAAATCTTTTCCATGATGGCTCCACACCTTTCCTAAAAAGGGGCACTAGAATTAGACACAATACTCCAATTGAGTTCAAACTTCAAAACTAGAGACAAAAATTTAGAAGGTGAGAGTATTTTGTGGGAAAATGTGAAGTTGTTCACTTTGGCAAAAAACTACATAATCAGATTATTATTTACATAGAGATAGTGTGAAGAATGCTGCAAAACAGAAGGACTTGGATGGCTGTGTACTTGAATCACAATGATTGAGCACGCTAGTGTAGCAAGTAATTAGAAGGCACATTGTAAACTGGCCTTTATTGCAACAGGGATACAGTATAAAAATAGGGAAGTTCTGGTCTCCTCAAGGAAGAATATACTTTCATTGGAAGCTGTTCAGCGAAGGTTCATTAGACTGACTGCTAGTAGGAAAGGGTTATCTCATGATGAAAGTTTGAGCAGGTTGGACCCTTGCTCATTGCGGTTTAGAAGAATGAGAGGTTCATTTTACTTAAATGTATAAACAATGGAGAGGCTTGATAAGGTAGACGCTGAAAGGATGTTTCTCCTCATGGGGTAAACTAGAACTTGGAAGCACATTTAAATTGGGGATGAGGAGGAAGTTCTTCTCTCAACAGTTGTTGGGCTTTAGAATTCTCTTCATAGACACCAGTAAAGGCTGAATCATTGAATATATTCAAGGCTAAGTTACAGATTAATCATTGACTAGGGAATCGATGTTATAGGAGACAGATGGGAAAAGTGACATTAGTGCCACAATAAGATCAACGGTGATCTTACTGAATAGTGAAACAGATTCAATGAGCTGCATGATCTAGTCCTATTCATACGTTTTATGATTATTGATATAGTGGGTCCTTGATTTATAAACATCGTCTTACGAATGCTCATTGTTAAGAACGCAATCTCATACAGGTGTGTATTTTTAAAAATTCGACATACCAGCATTTCCTGTACTTACAAATGGCTGTTTTATATTGTCCTGCTTTGTGCTCCGACTTGCAAATGGACTCAGGAACAAAACCCATTCACAACCTGGTGACTACCTGTATATTTCAAGAACAGCAGAGGTCCTAGTACTGACCCTGGGGATCTATCACCTTCCACACCGAAAAACAAAAGCAGAAATGATAGCAAACAACCTCACAAGCCAAGGTGTTCCTGAACTATGTATCTTGCCCCCATGTCGATCGTTGTGAAAACTAGCTTGAAAACATGTATTCTTTATAAGTTGCATTATCATTTACCTTGGAAGGAGAACGTTGTTTCCGTTTCTTCTTCTTTTGCAAATCTATTGGTTCTTTTTGTTGCCCTTTATCTTTCTTCAGTTGTCCAGCTTCTTCAGCATATTGGATTTCCTGTTTTACATTTACCTTTAGAATGACACAGTGGTTCAGAAATTAAGTTGAATTTAACCATCACAGAAAATTGCGCCACCATAGCACTGCATAAATGAAAGCTACTGTATCATATGCCGTCTGCTATTGAAAACATGGAAAGATACTGTATGATTGAGGGAATTATACAGTTTGACAACTTTTAACTGAAACGATAACTAAGAATTACATTGCAAAGTACGATAGCAATTGTTAGCTAACCATCTATTTAACTCCACAATTCTAGAATGGAGAAAATGATACCAAAGTATTTGACCAAAGTAAATGATGGCACATACTACTTTATCAAAGTTATAAGGAACGTTTGAAATGATTCATGTTGGGAAATGCTGAAAAAGAATCCAAATAAACTCAATGAAAGGTGGACTCCAGAAATGTGATATCTGTAATGAGAAAATATAGGTGAAGCGATATACTTTTTTTTTTACTACTTTTACACTTTTATTTCTAATTTCCAGCACCCCTTGTTTTTCCTTTAAATTTTGCTCATACTGTAGCATCAAATTCCATCTAACATAATTGAAAATGCCTTGCATTCATCATAAACTGAACCCAATATGCTTTCTCTCCCTCACAAATAAGCCCAGACTGCCATTAATGTAAACTATATATACTCAATATATCCATGTAATTTTTGGTTGAGGCTTTTTCCTCAAAATAACTGGTCTGCAAGACAATTCAATTGAGTTGGTGTCCATACTTTGTTCAGTGAATCAGATATGCTGCCAAGTAAATGCATTTTTTGTGCAACTCTGTTCTAGTCTACAAAAATGGTACCAGGATAGAAAACCCTCTGATGAGGTTGAATTGAAGAAGTTGAGGCTGTTCTTCTTCGAAGACAAGGACGGCTGAGGGGAGATTTGATAGAGGTTTTCAAAATCATGCGCCAGCTGGATACAGTAAATAGGAAGAAACTGTTTGAACTTGTGAAAGAAAAAAAGAATGCGAGGGCATATGTTTAAAAGGTGATGGGCAAACAATGCAATGATGATGTCAGGGGAAAAGAAAAACTTTTTGACACAGTGAGTAGGTAGGCAATGGAATGCACTGCCTGGAAGTGCGATGGAGGCAGGTTCACTGAGGCACTGGATGCATATTTGGATAGAAATGGTGCATAAGGATATGGGGTAAAGGCACGAGGTAATGGAACTGGCGCTGTCATGATGAGCCAAATGGCCTCCTTTTGTTCCATAACAATTCAATCATAGAATGGTAAAGAAGGCGTATGGCATACTTGCCTTTATTGGTTGAGGAATTGAGCGCAAGAGTCAGGATATAATGTTGCAGCTTTATAAGACTTTGGTTAGACCACACTTACAGCACTGCATTCAATTCTGGTCACCATATCACAGGAAGGATGTCGAGGCTTTGGAGAGGGTACGAAAGGGTTACCAAGATGCTGCCTGGATTAGAAGGTATGAGCTCTAAGGAGAGGCAAGAAAACTCAGATTGTTTTCTCTGGAGCAGCGGAGGCTGAGGGGAGACTTGATAGAAGTCTATAAAATTATGAGATACATAGATAAGGTTGGCAGTCAGAATTTTTTTCACAGAGTTGAAATGCCTGATATTAGGGGGCACACACTTAAGGTGAAGGAGAAAGTTCAAAGGAGATGTGAGGGGCAAGTGTTTTTCCTTACACAGACAGTGGTAGGAGTCTGGAACATGCTGCCAGGGATGGTGGTAGAGGCAGATATGATAGGGGCATTTAATGGACTTTTAGATAAAGCACATGAATATGCAAGGAATGGAGGGATATGGACCAAAGACAAGCAGAAGGGATTAGTTTGATTTGGCATCATGTTTGGCACAACATTATGTCCCTGTGCTGTGCTATTCTATGTTTTCATTCAGAGATTCGGTGACTGTTAAAGATGAAAATAAACTAATTGTAGCGTCAAATATTCATCAGTATGGATAAAGGGAATTTCAGTTGTAACATGTCAAAACAAAACCTTCCTGGGATCTTAATGGTAGTAAGATACTCAGTACAACTCAATTAAAGAATGCCTCATTTGTCATAGTCACATCACTCTAAATTGCAGATATTATTAGAAAACGTGCCAACATGGATTATGGCAAGCATTTGCAGAGTGACATTTCAGGTTTTAAGAAAAACAGTAGCCAGTAGTTTATGCTAATTCAAGGACTGTTATCTTCATCTGCAGCTGTCCCAATGCTCTCCTCACTGGCCTCCCATCTTCAATCCACTATAGGTTTTAAGCACATTCAAAGCACTGTTGCCCACAAACTAAACATATAACTGATCTACCTTCACTCTCAGATTTAAAATTCTCATCTTCTTATTCAAACAACTCTGCAGCGTCCTTCAACTCTTTAAGTTTTCATGATTTCTGCACCAGTGCACTGCATGCATTTAGCTGCCTAGGTCCTAAACTCAAAAACTCTCTCCTTAGACCTTGCTCTTCCTTTAACCTTAAACCTTCCTCCAACATATTATTTATTATCTGCCTTATCTCTTATTTTGGCTCGTTATCAATTTTTATCAGATTATATTCCTGTGAAGCAAAAAGGGGAGGTTTTCTACAGAACTGTAGAACTGTAAAGTTAAGTTGATGCTAATCTGGTCTCAAACTGACAGGCTATTCAAGGGCAAGAAATCACTGGTTTTATTTTAAATTCGTGAGGAGTGCAGAGACTGATCTCGCAACACTGGGATGGATATTACATGCTACAGACCAGTGTACTTTCGGTGGGGAGGCACATGAGATAAAAAAAGGTGTGCAGCCCACTACCTCACCACCCAAGCCCAAGCTCACCCCCAGAGTAGGGTGGGCACAAACCAAAATCAGCAACCCACCCACCATAAATAAATAAGGATCAACTCAGCAGGTTATAAGTTCAACTGACCATAACATTACTCTGCACACACCATAACACAATTGGTACGAGTAGATAGCTGGGAAGGGAAAATTTTTTATAACAAAGTGTGAGAAGAAGTGGGTAAATTGTTCGGAAAGTAACTTTTACATAATGGGAGCACCACCCAGAAGATAGCAGCCATGCTTCCTTCCTTCCCACGTGGAACTTGAAACCCATCATATTACTCCCCCTTAGGTTTCCAAAGATTCCCCAGTTAATGTCCCATACTTACCTGGGCCTAGGGATCGATTGAGGCCTTCATCCTCAGACTGGATGTAGTATCAGCAGCACCCATGATGATGCTCTGGTACTGTCAGCATTTCAGGAGCTGCTGGCCAATCAGGTTGGGTGGGAGTTTCAGACAATGGGACATCCTTCTATTGTAGGGCCAAGTTCCACAATCCCCTAAAATGGCTTGCCACAGTTCACTGTAATTGTAGGGCAGCTTGCTCAGATCTATCAACAATCTGTGACTTTCCATTTGCTCCCCTTCAGCTCCATAATTTCCTGTCCATTATTTCATATTGGGACAGCAGTTACACAACATACAACCTCATGTGTAGAACTTCACACAGTGTATTAAGCACCATTCTGCCATTCAAGTACGTAACTGCTGATCTATGTCACAACTCTGTTCACCTACCTTGACTGCATATCTCTTAATACTATGACCTAACAGTGAAGAATGCACATGCATCAGAAGCAATTCAGAGAAGTTTACTATACTAGAAACTGGAATGAAAACAGAAGTAACTGGGGAAACTCCGCAGGTCTGGTAGCATCTGTGGAGAGAAAGCAGAGTCAATGTTTTGGGTCCAGCAACCCTTCTGAAGGGTCAAACGACCCCAAAACATTAATTCTGCCGAGTTCCTCCAGTTATTTCTGTTCTTGTTACAGATTTCCAGCATCAGCAGTTCTTTGTTTATTTGCGTTTATACACTGTAATGGTGGGTTGTCTAATGAAGAACTGTTAGTCAGGCTAGGCTTGTATATGAATATTACAAAAGTAAAAAGATGACTTGACAGAAACAAAATCTTGAGGGGTCTTGACAGAACGGGTATGAAAAGGAGAGAGATAACAAGGTGTACAGCTGGATGAACACAGCAGGCCAAGCAGCATCAGAGGAGCAGGAAAGTTGACGTTTCGGGCCTAGATGCTTCTTCAGAAATGGGGGAGGGGAAGGGGGTTCTGAAATAAATAGAGAGGGTGGGGAGGCGGATAGAAGATGGATAGAGGAGAAGATAGGTGGAGAGGAGACAGACAGGTCAAAGAGGCAGGGATGGAGCCAGTAAACGTGAGTGTAGGTGGGGAGTTAGGGAGGGGATAGGTCAGTCCAGGGAGGACGGACAGGTCAAGGGGGCGGGATGAGGCTAGTAGGTGGGAGATGGGGCTGGGACTTGAGGTGGGAGGAGGGGATAGGTGGGAGGAAGGACAGGTTAGGGAGGCGGGGACGAGCTGGGCTGGTTTTGGGATGTGGTAGGGGGAGGGGAGATTTTGAAGCTTGTGAATTCCACATTGATACCATTGGGCTGCAGAGTTGCCAAGCGGAATATGAGGTGCTGTTCCTGCAACCTTCGGGTGGTATCGTTATGGCACTGCAGGAGGCCCAGGATGGACATGTCGCCTGAGGAATGGGAGGGGTAGTTGAAATGGGTCACGACTGGGAGGTGCAGTTGTTTAGTGTGAACCCAGCGTAGGTGCTCCGCAAAGCGGTCCCCAAGCCTCCGCTTGGTTTCCCCAATGTACAGGAGGCCACAACGGGAACAACGGATACAGTATACCACATTAGCAGATGTGCAGGTGAACATCTGCTTGATGTGGAGAGTCTTCTTGGGGCCTGGGATGTGGGTGAGGGGGGAGGTGTAGAGGCAGGTGTAGCACTTCCTGTGGTTGCAGGGAAAAGTGTCAGGTGTGGTGGGGCTGGAGGGGAGTGTGGAGCGGACAAGGGAGTCTCGGAGAGAGTGGTCCATCCGGAAAGCAGATAAGGATGGGAGGGAAAAATGTCTTTGGTGGTGGGGTCGGATTGCAGATGGTGGAAGTGTCGGAGGATGATGCGTTGGATCCAGAGGTTGGTGGGGTGGTACGTGAGAATGAGGGGGATTCTGTTTTGGTTATTATTGTGGGGAGGGGGTGTGAGGGATGAGTTGTGGGAAATGTGGGAGACACGGTCGAGGGCGTTCTCGACCACTGGTGCGGGGGGGGGGCCTGGGGGGGGGGGTTGCGGTCCTTGAAAAACGAGGACATCTGAGATGTTTGGGAGTGGAATGCCTCATCCTGGGAGCAGGTGCAGCGGAGGCGACAGAATTGGGAATAGGGGATGGCATTTTTGCAGGAAGGTGGGTGGGAGGAGGTGTATTCTAGGTGTTCTAGATGCAACCGCAAGAAGTGCTACACCTGCCCCTACACCTCCCCCCTCATCCACATCCCAGGCCCCAAGAAGACTTTCCACATCAAGCAGATGTTCACCTGCACATCTGCTAATGTGGTATACTGTATCTGCTGTTCCCGTTGTGGCCTCCTCTACATCGGGGAAACCAAGCGGAGGCTTGGGGACTGCTTTGCGGAACACCTACGCTCGGTTCGCACTAAACAACTGCACCTCCCAGTTGCGAACCATTTCAACCCCCTCCCGTTCCTCAGACGACATGTCCATCTTGGGCCTCCTGCAGTGCCATAACGATACCACCCGAAGGTTGCAGGAACAGCACCTCATATTCCGCTTGGGAACCCTGCAGCCCAATGGTATCAATGTGGAATTCACAAGCTTCAAAATCTCCCCTCCCCCTACCGCATCCCAAAACCAGCCCTGCATGTCCCCGCCTCCGTCACCTGTCCTTCCTCCCACCTATCCCCTCCTCCCACCTCAAGCCCCAGCCCCATCTCCTACCTATTAGCCTCATTCCGCCCCCTTGACCTGTCCATCCTCCCTGGACTGACCTATCCCCTCCCTAACTCCCCACCTACACTCACCTTTACTGGCTCCATCCCGGCCTCTTTGACCTGTCTGTCTTCTCTCCACTTATCTTCTCCTCTATCCATCTTCTATCCGCCTCTCCCTCTGTCCCTACTTATTATAGAACACCCTTCCCTTCCCCCATTTCTGAAGAAGGGACTCGGCCCGAAACGTCAACTTTCCTGCTCCTCTGATGCTGCTTGGCCTGCTGTGTTCATCCAGCTCTACACCTTGTTATCTCAGATTCTCCAGCATCTGCAGTTCCTACTATCTCGGATCTGAAAAGAATGTTTCTTCTTGTGGGAGAGCTGAGAACTACGGGTCATTGTTTCAAAACAAGAGTACACTTAAGATTGAGATGAGATGAAATAAAATTATTTCTCAGAGGGTTGTCTTTGGAACTCTCTTCCTCAAAAATGAAAGCAGAGCCTTTGTATATTTTTAAGGTAGAGAGACGCAGATTCTCGATGAGGAAGAGGGTGAAAGATTCTTAGCAGTGAATTAGAATGTGAGTAATTAGATCAGCCATCTTGAATGACAGAGCAGGCTCGAGGGTTGAGTGGCCTACTCCTAACTCACATGTTAATAATGTTACAAGAGAATATTAAATGACACTTAAAGGTTAACTCTAAAAGCCAGTGTACCATGGCATTAGATCCTTCACTTTTAGAGACTGTAAAGCCTCCAGTCTAATTGCAGTATTTAATAATAATATTTAATACTGTACTTTAGAAAGAATACCAAATAAATAATATTGTCATTTCTAAAACATGCCAAGAAATATAACAAAAGCAAACTTTTTTTGTCCTCTTCCAGGAGGTCACAGGTTCAGGAGACCAGACAGTCTTTTCCTGTTCATCTTTTGGAAAATCATGCCCAAATAAAGCAAAGAGAGTTTAAAACCACTGATAAAATTCTTGCCACCATTAAGAATGCATTATTGCCAAACCACATTAATAAAATTGGCACCACTTACATTTAGTTCATACGATAATTCTTGAGGGATCCTTTCATGTCCATCATTCTCATCATCATCATTTTTAACCGTTTCCTCGTGGATCATTAGCTCATCATGTGAGATAAGCTCCTCCTGTGGGAGGGCACTTTCCTGCAGACCAGTTTCTTGTTGGAGAATTTCTTCATGAGAGATTTCCCTCTCTTCTAAGACAGTTTCCTGTGCTCCTACATGTACAGAGGGTTGATCAGGGACCCCTCCCACCACGACCAGTGGTCTGGAAGTCTGCATTTCATTTATACTGCCACATTTAAGAAAAATCCGATCGAGCTTGTCTTCAATATTCATTCTTCAGCAGAATTATTTTAAAATCTGGAAAACAATATATTTTGATAACTCATTAGCAACAATATAAAATTAATCGTAACCATTATATATTACATAAAAGGCAAACTGAATAGTTAGAGCAGGTACTTGCTTTCCACCGCATTTATTACATCCTGATTTGACAATAACCATTAAGTGTATATCAGTGACTTATTACGTTTGGCATTCAATGATTAGTAAAATGATCCACAATTGAATGCAAAATACAATCAAGACATTTCTACAAACACTTAGTTAACCACTCTCTTTCACTATTGCCGCCAGCAGTCTGCAAATTAAGAAGATCACTTGTCTTCCATTCTCAAAATACAACCTACTGTTCTCTTAAAAGGTCTTCAAACTTATCATTCTAATTCAGTTCTTCACATGTCTTCCATAAATGCCAGCACAAGACCCTCCAGCTTTTTTCCACTGTGCCAATCACATTGAAAATATTTCACCTAAAATCATCAACAATACTCTGCAGCTATCGATGAATTGCAGTTTTCCTTGATTTTCTATGATCTTCAAAACTATTGACTTCTCTGTCATCAACTGCAGTCGTTCCATAGACCAGCTCCACATACTCATCTCAATCCTAAATCACTTCATCTCCTCTAGTGGGAGGAATCGTCACTCCCAGAGTGTCCTAATAATCTCTCCAAAGTCCACTGTAATTCCATGTCTATACAAACCCTCAACAAAAATTAGCCATTGTACACTACCATAACATGTATATAAATTGCTTTTCATGTCAAGTTTTCTATAATCCAGAACCTGCCACTTCAACATCAGAAATACCAAATCTATCCTATCTGCCCATCTGATAACTTCAATTGCTTGCACAGACTGAATGTTGAGGCATGTCCTTTTCCGCCTCCTGACAATCTAGTCTCACCATGCAACCCTAAAGTTCTTATCTTTGATCATTTGAATAGTTCAGAATGGAGGAATTCCAGAGGCCATTTACACCATTCCCTTGTTACATTTGATCTCCAAAAATCAAATTTGTTGGCGAAAATATTTCTAGTTTCTTCTTGAAATTAAGTAGGTTTTCTTATTTGTGCAAATTACAAAATATGCATGCCTTTTCAATTTTCCTTTGCTGTCTTTAAAAGGTGGAATTTCTTCAATGCCCACTTCACATACATTCCAAAATGATTCAATATTAATTCAAATTATTCTGGGACTCTACAGAACATGTTCTTCCCTGTGCAAAGAACCAAATGCTCATCTGACCTCAACTACCTTCATTCATTTTCTACTCTCCTCAACAGAGGAACATTTAAAATCTACTTCCTCATTGATGCCTCAACAAGCATTACCAGATCTATGTATTATCCTATACCCTGCTCTGACCATAGCTTACTGTGCTTCCCTTTTCCACTCCACTCCATCATTAAATCGAGATACCTGTGGTATAGTTGATAGCTCATGCCCTAGATGGATCAGTTATCTTGATACTACTTCCTGGGCTTTCTTGAGCACAAATTGGCATCCACAGTTGACAAATATAACATGTTATTTGTGTAAAAGGAAGCTTTGAACTATTGTGCCTTGCAACTCATCATTATTCTAAGTCAGCTAAATCTATTCAACTTCCTACATCTTCCATCTCTCCTCGAACTTTATCTACTTTGGCCATTTCTCTGAACTTTGTTCCTACTGTCTGTTCAGTATTCACTATTTTCCCTTTAAAGCAGCACTAGATGCTTTGTTACATGAACACCACTAAGTAAATATAACCAGCAGTCACTGCAAATCAACAGTACTGTAACCAGACAAAATGGGCCACCTACAATTCGAGTCCTCATAGGAGTCATAGAATCCCTGCAGTATGAAAACAGGCCCTTCAGCCCAACAAGTCAACACCGAACCTCAGAGCATCCCACCCAGACCCGCCCCCCTGTAACCCACCTAATCTACACATCCCTGAACACTACGGGCAATTTATCATGGCCAATCCACCTAACCTGCACATCTTTGTACTGTGGGAGGAAACCGGAGCACCTGGAGGAAACCCACGCAGACAAGGGGAGAACGTGCAAACTCCACACAGACAGTCACCCAAGGTTGGAATTGAACCGGGTCCTTGGTGCTGTGAGGCAGCAGTGCTAACTACTAAGCCATCGTGCCACCTGTTTATACATTCATGAAGTTCAGGTACATGCATTTCATTCACACTATCTTCCAATGAATATAGCTTTTATATAAATTTCTTAAGAGCACATGTATACAAAGGGATAGTTTTAGTGTGACTATCTTACTAGTGAACAAATCTCATTTGGAATACTAAGACCTGTCACTGTCAGGAGTCGAAATAAATGGAACCTAACGGGCAACTTTAAATTAAATTTTATACATGACCCACAAAACTCCACAGCAAGCAACTAAGCAACCTAAAACGTCAAAAAAACTTGTACCTATTGTTCAAACTCAATTTCCATGGTACCTATACTTAAGTAACTTTATACCTAAGATGACACCATAAGTGGTGACTTGCGAACTGTTCACTGTACTCATGTGCGGACATGTGGCAATAAAGCTAATTCAATTCAATTCAATTCAATTCATCTATGGTCCAACAGTTAACAAGTACAAAGAACACAATCTCAATGAATAATCTGCTTGGTAAACTTTAATCTACAAGTTTTTAAAAAAATTATAGATGAAATTACAGCATACAGCTACAAGTAACTATAATATGAAAGCAAGTTTCACATATCTGACAATGGGACTCAATGGGAATGTAGCAAGGCAGAGAAAACTAATTTGGTAATGCTAGAAAACTCAGCAATTCCCCATTGCTCAATGCAGCTCCAAAAAGTCTAACGGTTAACTCTGCATCTGACCTTTTATAAACAAGATACAAGTTTCAGTTCTCAGGTGTTCAGAATTCCACTGGCCTTCTGCACATTACGGACAGGTAGACGCAGAAGCTTGTGCTTTTCGCAAGTATGGGTTATGGACTTAGAATTCTTGTAAAGCAGCAATCAGTATGTATCTCAATCACAGCTGCTGAATTCAGAGCCCAGAATTCCTTTAGAAAGAGCCTGTGCCATCTCCAGCTCTTCATCCGTGGAATCCAATAGAGAGTCCATGCAAACACAGAAAACGCTGGAGAAACTCAGCAAGTCTGGCAGCATCTGTGGACAGAAAAACAGAGTTAACGTTTCGAGTCTGGTATGACTCTTCTTCAGAACAAAGGCTTTTCCTGGAAGAGAGCCCAAAATAAGCAATGGATCTTGAACAGGGAACTTTGAGTGTAAAATCCAAAGAAAAAAATTCTAGTTCCAAATTATATTTTTCTCCTTTTCTCATGTCAAGTTCTTATTCAACTATCAACTATCACAGTTAATACCATAAGAGGTCTTGATGACAATTTGAACAGAAGTACACAAAAGCAACATAAAAAGAATGTTTCAAGTATTCAAACCTACATAACTACTAAAACCAAACAAACATTTAGGTAGTCAGAAATTCCAAGTATCATAGATATCTATAAAACTACATTAGCTGAATACAATGCTGCAGTATTTTCTCACCTTTTGCAAACAAAGTTAACACATTCTGAGATGTGTTATGTCACAGTGGGTTCCTGAAGCATCATCAGTTTCGTAAACCACAGCCCAAATGAATTCACCGTCTTAGATCAATGATTGCACTGCAGCTAGTGAAGAAAAACATTATTTGAAAACTTACACAATTTTCACAAAGGTATTAATGCAGAAATTGAAAAATGTGCCAAATTTCCTTTTACCCGTAAAAACTTGAATATACAGTTAACACTTTAAAAATATTTGTTTTTAGCAAATTGTGTGCTCAATGCAAAGTATCAGTGCTGGTGTCTGGAAGACTTTTTTTTCCCTATCTGAATACCTATTATTAGCATTTTCCAACATAGACAGATAAAACAGAGTCAGGATTGCTGCAAGACCACAGTGTAAAGGTGACAGTAACTTAATATCAGATTCCTGTCAAATTACAAAGCCTAACAGTCTCAGAATGCAAGGGAAACAGCAGTACACATGGCTTGGGATATAAACAGTAAACGCCAAGAATGCTCAGCACATCAGGCAGCATTACATTGTTTAAACTTGATACCCTTCTGTGTCGTCCCAGTGTGGTGCCATGTTGAACTTAAAGTTCGCCATCTTTTCACCCTAGGCAGTCTGCAACTCCAATTCTTTCCATCACTAAGTCTTCCTCCTACCCTTTATGTCTAGCCACTTAGCCCTTGAACCATGGCTTTATCTCCAAACTTCCACAGTGCACTCACGCTGGCTATCCTGCCTAAAACCAGCTTCTCCCCGAACAGCTCTCTCATCCATCATATTCCATTCACATCCATTCCCTGATCAATTTGAATGCTACATTAAAGATGATTTTCCAATACCAAGCCTGGAAAACTTTCACTTGTTTTTAAAGCATTTATATGCTTTATAATATAACAGCCAGCTGACATTCATCCTCTAGACTCACATATGAAGAACAGCCACCTGGTCAAAGTACCTAAGGATGCCACAAGCCTGTGGAACGGCAGGAGGTCACATGTAGGGGGAAGAGCGGAGAATGTTGTCTACAGGTAAAGGTAACTATTACTTGTTATGAGTTCTAACATTTGAAAACATTCACATATGTATCGTAAAATAATCTACAATTCATAACTGTTAAATAAAAAGACAAATTTGCTAATTCATACAAAATATTCAATGAAACAAAATCCTGCCTACCATTCTGACGTAATGTGAGATCTCCTCCATTGCGCCTCAGAATGATGATCAATACATAGGACTCTCAGACTCAATCGGCATAATACAGTAATCAGAAATTAGTAAGTTGTGCCATTCCACTGTATTCGGAAGGAATATAAGAAACATTCAAATAATTTTGTTTACATTAAATGGATAGTCAACAAGCTGTTAAAAAAACAAAAGCAGAACAAGACAAATAATGTAAATCAGAAATTAAACCAAAATGCTGGACATATTCAGCAGGTCAGGCAGCATCTGTGGAGAGGTTGAGTAAACTTTTCAAGTGAAATGTTATCTCTTTTTCTCTTCACCAATGTTGCCTAATCTGCTAGGTATTTCCAACATTTCATGCTTTTATGTATGAAAGGTAAGAATGTTCTGCCTCAGATTGCAATTGTGCAAATTCATTACACATTAGTTCAGAGTCATCTTCATTCCCCACTATTTGTTCTGACTTTTTTACATCTGAAATAACTACAGGAAGGAATAGATTACCACACTCCTGTGTTTTTCACATTGCTCAATTCACTGTTAAATTACCCTTTAGTGTCCAGGGATGAGCATGCTATGTGAATTAGCCATGGGAAATGCAAAGTTAGGATGGGGAGGTGGGTCTGGATGGGATGCTCTTTGGAGAGAGAGTGCAAAGTTGATGGACCTAACGACCTCTTTCTGAACTGTAGGGATTCTATGATTATAATTATTAGATATTCAATATTTTAAAGCGGGGAAACCTGAATTTAATGAAAAGCTGCTTTAATAGTGACCATGTAACCACTGCCGATTGTTGTAAAAAAAAACCATCAGGTTCACTCATGTGCTTAGCTCAGGATTGAATAAAAAAGATTAATTAAGCAATTAATAGCTCATATTCCAAACTAAAGCATATAAATTGCAGCTGTCAGGTCACTTCCCTGCCTTTGAAATTAATTACATCAACATTGGATCAATTGTACAAAGGAGGATACTTAGCATTTTAAGAACTACAAATAAAGTTATCTCAGGTGGAAAATGTAGAGTAAGGGATGCTGTTTGTGGGGCAAAAGGGGGATAAGTCAGGAAGTTATGAGCGTGGTTGGCAAACTTAAGTAGTGAAGGTGTATGCTGGGCTAGACTGGTTAACATGCTGAAGTTGTTCTACATGAGGGGATACCGTAAACACTTCCCTCTGACAAGCCTGGATTCCGACTGCTTTAGCTCCTCCATTGTACTTAGACAGGAAGTCTGTGCCATTGATGTCAATCTGTGCCTGGAACCAGAGTTCAGCACCCACTGGCATATGAACGGTGCCACTGACTATTATATTTCTAAGGAATGCTTCCATCATACTTGTGTTCTGCACTCGAGTTGCCAACTTGGTGCTCTGCTTTCACTCCACTCACCAGCCTGCTTGGATTAGTGATGGAGCAGGGCAATGAGCTGGACGCAGGCAGCAAGGGGTTGGAAACTAGGATGGACAAATGGGGCTGTGAAAATTGCAAACCCAGAATTTAAACAGAATTGATTCAAAACAATTGAAAATATTTTCTGATATCGGTTGCATTCTCTGACACAAGAAACTGACTGCTTTGTCGGTAGCAGTGAAGTCAAAGGCACACGGCCGCCTGGACAGTTAATATGCCCCCTTTTCCCTACAGTTCCTCATTCAGCTGCCTGGTCTATCCAACAGCCCTTCCAGCAACAGCCAGGGTCCCACAGGCCACCGTGACTGAAACCGACTGCAATTCACTATAAGTAGCGAAGATTTGGGCTCCATTGCACATAACCCTATTCCCTGAGCCCACCTGTTAAACCCCACAGAGTTTTTGGCTCCATTGGCACCTCCTCCCCCTACCTGCTGAATCCCACAGCACCACCAAGCTCAAGTCACCTGCTAGTGGACTGAATGATTGCTGCTGGGTCTAGGCTGGCATGAGGCCGACAGGCAGAGATGGTGGTCCGGTTCTGGCTGCAGGCTACAAAGGGATTCCCCCATTCTGTAGTTCATGGTTTGGGTTCAGGGATCAGCGTGAAGCATAGAAGATCAAGGTCTAGCACAGCAACAACCAAAGTTTGAAATCATTTTCTACTGCAATATCAGAAATCCACCAAAGGGCAGACATTTCTCACCCTCTTTATAGTTAATGGAACCAAACTGGATGGCAGTCCATTAAATAGTGCAGACAAGAAATGAGACTACTCGGAATATTTAGCAATGCACTGGTGAAGATTTGTTTGACAAATAAGGCTGCTGCAGGTGACCACTAGGGAACTTATTGCTAAATTTGAAACCCAAGACAATCTCATTTTCCCTCTCACAATAAAGAAAGCTGTTATGACAACAATCATGCCACATTTTAGATGAGATCCATCCACAAAAGTACTATGACCATTCATCCAGCACTGAGAGCTAGCAAGATAAAAAGCTAAAATACTCACCAAAATTTAAAGTTACATTTGTAAAACTCTGTAAAAGGTATTTGTGGGCAATTGCAAGGTTGCAGGTGTATCTCAAGTTTGGTTGCAGGGTTTACAGTCTACAGAGCTGAATTTAAAAATGAAAATGTGCAAGCTCACAGTAGCAAAATACTTTTGATCATAACTGAACACAACTGCTTAGAAATGTTGCTGTACTTCACAGTTAGACTTAAGTCATGATAAATTACTTAACAAAGGGCTTTCAAACAAAAATGAGGTTTTAACTATCAATACAGGAATAGTGAATGTCCAGAAAAAAGTGGACACTTGGTCAATTGTAAAACTCAAGACATAAACTCGCACTGTCAAGGAATCTATTCTAGTATTATAAGTTATTACTTCCAAGAAATTCTTCCCGCTCCCAAAAGCGGCCGAATGAATATTTAGGATATCAATCCAACATTATTAACAGTACGTTCCACAATGCCACTTAAACACTATCTTAACTCAGTGGGTATTGCATTAATTACATTAATTACATTACAATTACATTGCATCAATTATATTACAATTACATTAATTACAAATTCAAGCAATTGAAACTCTATTTACATAAGTTAAGCTGGCATTCCTGAGCAAAACTGGAAAGAGTGCTATACTATCATAGGTTCAGGTCAATGCGAAAGATGTTTTGGTCATAAAATATGAAAACCACAATGTCCTCCTGTTGAGCCAACATTTCCTGTTCAGTGATAACTATTCCAATACAAAGTTACCATTTTTCACTTCATTATGGTTTGTGGGACATGAAAGACACAACAGCTGGCAGTGGAAATGCCACTACACCTTACCACATTTTCAACACCCAAATAACATATTATATCAATGCAAGTGTTTCTTCCCCCTCCACAAAATTGACAGTGCTACATTCAGGATGAAAAGGGAGTGAAACTGTTTGAGCATTAAGGAGAAGACAGATAGCGAGGACATGGATTAACACTCGAGTCAGAGACCCTTTGTCAGAGCAGTGAATGAAGACGAATGCAGACTCTTTCTATTTTGGAGATTGGCCTGTTCATTATGAATTATTTGCATTTCATATCAAATATGTCAAATCTGTGGCTTTTTTTTTAAGTACATCTTTGTTATATGTGGAACTCTCTTGATCTTTTCGTCCCTCATTATTAGCCTATTCTTCTGTTATGTCTGCATCATCTTACCGATAATCCGTTTTAATGCTAATAATAAAAACCAAAAGAACTGCGGATGCTGTAAATCAGGAACAAAAACAAGGTTGCTGGAAAAGCTCAGTGGTCTGGCAGCATCTGTGAAAGAGAAAACAGAGTTAACGTTTCGGGTCCGGTGACCCTTCCTCAGAATCCAGGAGTTCTGCAGAACCTAGGAGAACTCGGGAGTTATGAGGAAGGGTCACCGGACCCGAAACGTTAACTCTGTTTTCTCTTTCACAGATGCTGCCAGACCTGTTGTTAATGATAATAATCTTTTACCCGAGTACAGTTTACATAATATGTTGAGCCTCGCTTTTCAACAGTTACTTAGTTGGCCCTCTCCCTTTTTTCTCACATTTATTGAAATACCGGTTTTCTCACAGCCTTCAGTTGAAAGGTTTCACATTCAACTTGTCAGAACTTCCCCTTTCTCTTAACAGATGCTGATAAACCCATAAATTTCTGACATTTTATAGCTTCTGTTCTTGCCTATCCATTACAAATTGCAAAACATAGCCAATAAGCCCAAATTATTAACATAATATGTTTTCGAAACAGATTCTGTGAAAACTTCATTATTTCAGAGCTGAAATTAGAGATGGCTAGTATCATATTCCCAATATAGCTACCAAGTGCCATTAGCTAACATTCCAAAGTGAGGCCAGAAAGATTTTACTGATTTATCACAATACTATACATCAACCGGCTCAGAAAATCATTCTTTTCTCCACCGTTAGCAAGTCTTCCAATTTTATTTCCTGATCTCAGAGTGTTAAGATGCTTTGCAACTAGTTTTGAACTATAGATCTTTATAGATATCCCAGAGGCGGAAGCATATCAATACTTCAACAAAAAGCAAGAGGAGTGAGACAACTAAAAAAGTGACATGAATACAATAGTCATCATTATGGCCCAGTTATGGTGTACAAGTAATCTGTTCGCACATTTAAAGAAGTGTTATTACAATTTTATTTTAGAAACCACAATTTAGCGATAGAGACAGCAATTTAGATGCAGAGTGATGCTTTTATAGTGCTGAAAGATCATTAAACAGATCATAGAAATCTCTCACCAGTTAGATTATCAGTATTACTCATTGGCCAGAGGTTACTGCATATGCATTTCATTTAGTTGTACTGTTTTTAATCAGGTCATGTTTATTACCAATTCGACTAGCTGACAAAAGGTTGGGACAACCTGTGGAATAGTTAAATATATAGCAACTGGGTTAACTCAAAAAGCATCATGACCTGCGTATGCAACAACTATTAACTGGTTGTTTCTTTTCCCTTGGCAAAAGTACAATGAACCTAATCCTGGCCTCATCTGATACTCACTTTCCAGTACAGTTTAATGAATAATAGTAGGCAGCCAATGTTTCTTCTAAAGTCAGCATAAGGTGAGGGGTTTCCTACAGACTGCTTAGAAGATAAAGTGTATTGAAGTGAACAGGCTGTGCACAACAATCAATA